CTAAGCGGCATTCCCCCTGTGGGAGCGCACTGACCACCAGGGGACAGCTCCTGCATTGAGCATCTGCCCCCTGGTGGTCAGTGCGTGTCATAGCAACCGGTTGTTCTGCCGTTCAGTCAATTTGCATATTGGCCTTTTATTATATAGGATTGTAAGTATTATATTACTATATATATGTATATGTACACACACACTCACACACAAATAGTTCCCTACTTACAATGGTTAGACATACTATTTTTCAACTTTACAACAATGTGAAAGCCATATGCATTCAGTGGAAATTGTACCTCAGATTTTGAATTTTGATGTTTCCCCAGGCTAATGATATGAGTCATATTTCCAAGCTTTTTTGCCAATCTAGTCCTCTTCAATTGGTTGCTGGACATTGGAAAGATTAGAAATGATTTTGTGCATTTCGTTTTTTTTTCTTAAAATGTGTTGAATTCTGTTTTGAGTGTCATTTAGATTAATTGAGATTCATCTTAATTCTATCAGGGTTTGCTTTTTTAAAAAAGTATTCTTTTTTTATCCTTATATGATCTGTTTTTCTTTTTCCTCTTTCCAAACTTTTAGTACTGTCCCAGTGTTTCAAAATATTTCAATACTGTGCCTTGGTTTTGCACTTTTTTCTTTTACTGAATAGATAACTTGGTGAGCAATCTCAATAAGAAAAAACAAACTTTATCCAAATTAGTCAATGAAACATCCTCTCCATTTTTCTATTCTATTTCTGCCAAACGTGTATTCATTAATTAATTAGATATTAAACCTTCTAGGTGTTTCTTTTCTCTAATTTTTCCCTATTTATATCATCCTGTTCTTGTTTCATGGATATTTTAACTTCTATCTCAGGATTTTAGAACACAATTTAAAAATAAAATTTACTTGTGATGCTCTCTTGCTTTTCTTTCTTTTTTTTTTAAATCCTCACCTAAGGATATTTTTTCCATTGATTTTTAGAGAGCGTGGAAGGGAGAGGGAGAGACAGAGAGGAACACTGATGTGAGAGAGACACATTGATTGGTTGCCACCCGCATGCCCCTGACCAGGGCCAAGAGCCTGCAACCGGGGTTCGTGCCCTTGACTGGAATCGAACCCTGGACCCTTCAGTCCGCAGGCTGACACTCTATCCACTGAGCCAAACCAGTTAGGGCCTTTTATTTCTTCTGAGTTTCTTTCCCTCCCCGCCCCCTCTCTACTCTACATTGTTCTGTCTTTTATACTGGAGGCTTTCTTCAAATGTCAAGTGATCTATTGTTCGTGTGTGTGTGTGTGTGTGTGTGTGTGTGTGTATTTGACTTTTGTAGTTTTCAATTATAGTTGAGATACAATATTATGTTAGTTTCAGGTGTATAACCCAGTGATTAGATGCTATATAACTTACTAAGTGATCACCCCAATCAATTTAGTTCCCATCTTGATACCATTCATAGTTATTACAAGTGGTCCAGTGCATGGATTTGTGCACATTGAAAGGAAATTAATTGGAAGAAATATTTTAATATCACTATTTTTCCTTTTTCTGTAATAGAAGTGTCAACCAAATTCATGATTGACAATGACAGATCGAAACACACACCTGCGATTGCGCCAGTGAGAGCTTTATATGTATCGCGCATGCATGAGTCAACTTAGCCTTTTATAACTGACCACCAGGGGACAGCTCCTGCATTGAGCATCTGCCCCCTGGTGGTCAGTGCATGTCATAGCAACCGGTTGTTCTGCCGTTCGGTCAATTTGCATATTGGCCTTTTATTATATAGGATTGTAAGTATTATATTACTATATATATGTATGTGTATATGTACATACATATATGTACACACACACACTCACACACAAATAGTCCCCTACTTACAATGATTAGACATACTATTTTTCGACTTTACAACAATGTGAAAGCCATATGCATTCAGTGGAAATTGTACCTCAGATTTTGAATTTTGATATTTCCCCAGGCTAATGATATGAGTCATATTTCCAAGCT